TGTCGGTGGGCCCCACGGGTGACTTATGTGAAGTGGGGAGGAGAAAGACAGCCACTTTCTCCTCACCCGCCTCTGCCACCCGGAACCCTGGGTAGGCTAGGACCGGTAAAGTCTGCAGTGAGCACCTGCTCGGCACGGGCCTGAGCCCCACCAGCCCCACGAGGTGGCCGTCAAGCCACACCTGAAGTCCGCTTGATCTTCTCGGCACGGGAGTTAATCCCCGCCACCCAATTGCTCGGGGAGCCACGGACTCAAGCTGGGGCGAGAATTTGCTCTTTGCAGGAAAGGAGAGACCAGTCCCAAGCCTTTACCCGAGGTTTCTGGGGTTCTTGTCTCGCTCGCAGAAAAGAATTTCAGGAGTAGACGAGCAGTGAAGTAACAGGTTTTATTTGGAGGCTTTTGGAGAGGGAGAGGAAGGGATAAGCAGATAAGCGGGGGAATAGAGAGTAAGAGAGAGAGAGAGTAACACGTCCAGAGGGAACGCGGGCTTCTCCGAGGGTGGAGAGAGCGCCAAGTGGGCTCTCGAGCTGGTTCTTATAGATCCTTCTGACTCAGAATGTTCTGGAATCTCCTTGGGGCTGAGTCGCTGGAGTCAACCGGATTGAAAGGGGGTTCGAGAATCATCTGACTTGGAATGTCCTGGGATCTCCTTGGGGCTGGGTCGCTGGAGTCAACCGGATAGGAAGCGGGTTCGAGAGTCATCTGACTTGGAATGTCCTGGGATCTCCTTGGGGCTGGGTCGCTGGAGTCAACCGGATAGAAAGCGGGTTCTCGGAAAGGAGGAATTTCATGGGGAGGAGGCCCATATCTTCAGGGTCTGGGGATGGTCTTATCAAGTCCTTATTCTCTGTCTCCACAGGGTGGGTTGGTCCTAGAATTCTTCTATGAGACTTTGTTTCATTGCAGAGAGCCTTTCCCTATCTACCTGCCTACATCAAATATACCTTGTAAGAGCTTTAATTGAGCATTTTTTAAGGCTATTTGAATACCTATGGAAGCATTGCAGAGTACAGTTTTTGTTAAGTGAGATTAAGATAACATTTCCCCCTTTCCTTCCCCTCCTCCCCCTGCCATTTCTACCCCTCTCCCGTCTGGCTCTGTAGACACCCTCGGGGTCCTAGTGGTCGCTGGCTTTGCCTTCAGCCAGTCCCTCCATTTTTTGATGCCATTGGCCACAATGCTTCCTATGGTGTCTCTCCCTCATTTGGTGGTCCCCCGTATTTTGTACCACCCAACTTCCACCCTTTATGATTATGGGTCCCCCTGCTATGTTGCCTCACCCCGCCAACTCCACCACGAGCCTGTCACCGCCCTCAGCCCTCACCGTCCTGTTCACCCTCGGCCTTGCGGGCTCTGGTATGAGCATCAAAGCCCTGACCTCACAGCACTCCAGTCTAGCTACACTTCACGCCGCCGTGGATGCCGATTTAGAGCGCCTTGAACAATCCATCTCTCACCTCGAGGATTCGCTGATGTCTCTTTCGGAGGTTGCTCTTCAAACCACCGAGGACTGGACTTGTTCTTTATGAGAGAGGGGTGATTGTGTGCTGCATTGGGGGAAGAGTGCTGTTTCTATGTCAATCATAGTGGGGTCATCAGGGATTCTATGCGGGACTTCAGGAGGGCCTGGACTGGACTTGCTCTTTATGAAAGAGGGGGGATTGTGTGCTGCCTTAGGGGAGGAGTGTTGCTTTTATGTTAACCACAGTGGAGTGATTAAAAACTCCATGGAGAACTAAGGGAAGGTTTGGAGCTGAGACAACAGGAACGTGAGTCTCCTAGCTCTGGGTAGACCCTGCACTCTCTACTCCTTTACTCGTTGCCACTCTCGGGTCCCCTGACTGCCCTTTTATTGATTGCTACTGTGGGCCCCTGCATTTTTAATCGAATTACCGCTTTTGTTAGACAACAGATAGCTTCTCTATCTGCCAACCCCATACAAGTACATTACCACCGCCTGGCAATGGAAGATGCTTCCCTGGACTGTGCGGCCGCAAAATCTGCTGCTGCAGAGGATAGCTCGCGGGTCGTAGTTGATTGGACCCATCCTTGAGTTGTTCTTGGCCAGCTCCCCCGCCCCTCTCTGATCTGACACTCTGGGTATGAAAGAGTCGGACTTTACCCTATTCCATTTTTTTCAGCCGCTAGGTGTCTGGCAAAGCACTGCAAGGGAGGCCTCATGGCTGCTTCCGACTCCCTGTGGAGTACACTGGGCCTGCATGGAAGTTTCCTCTGCCTAGCACTGGCCCTTTTCCGCGGCTCCCCTCCACGAGTAGGGTGATCAGGGGAAAACGGGCTTTTTCCACTCTCCTTCCCTCCGCAAAACAGAGGTATTCTGGATATTTTGGAGGGACCCAGTCAATGCTCCCCCTAGCTGGCGTCTTTTATAATAAAGGAAGGGGGAGATGTGGGAAGCTGGCCCTTTAACTGACCAAGGCCTAAGTGCCTGTATGGTCATCCTGACCTACGACCCCACAGCAGGCACAGCCTGTGCTATGTATGGTCATCTTGACCTACGTGACCCTGCAACAGGCAAAACCAGTGCTATGTATAGTTATCTTGATGTATGGTTATCCTGAGAGAACATCTGTCATGGCTGTCAGTAATAACAAGAAGTAACTATCTCGTGTCTGGTACGTGATGCATGTAAATTTTATAAATCATATGGACATGGCTCTTTGTGTATCTACCTCATGTCTGGTAAATCATATGGACATGGCCTTTGTGTAATCACCTCGTGTCTGGTACCAGATACACATAAACCTTGTAATGCATGATAGGTGAAAACAAACCTTCCTAACCATATATGGGCACGACCTTTTGTGTAGCTGCCTCACTAATGGATATATACCCTGATTGCCCCCAATAAAGTCCTGTCCCTTTTTCTCTCTGTTTCTGAGCTGCATTCTGTCTCTTGTGTCTCGTGTTCATTCGGTCGGTCCTTCCCAGCACCTACGGATCCTAGGGCCACCTCCGCAGGCCGGAGAGTGGTCTGGCGGGGCCCCCCGCACCTACCCACTGTACTCTCTGGCCCTCACCAAACCATTTAATTTAAAAATTCATTTTCAGTTGAATGACATCTACCCAATCCGAGCAGGCTTGGAGATCTCAGCCCCAGGACCCGCATGCCTTTGTTCCTCTGCCGGTACCTTCGTGCGTGTGGAGAGTGGTCTCAGTGTGGTTGTGGCTGGTTCTGGAGGTCTTTGGCTGCCGGTGCTCTGCTTAGGGCGGGGAGGGAAACTCAACCCGCCCCCTCCAAGGAGCCCCAGCGAGGACAACCAGGCGCGGGGGCAGAAGACCTCTTATTATCTCCTTCTTGCTTTGGACAATCTGGCAGGCTACCCAATGTATTCTGCCCACACGGCAGAGTCTGGCAAACTCCCCGTGGTGTACCCAATATGCCAAATACCAGTAACAATGATGGGTCTCATTCTCCTGACCCTGAAAGAGCCTTGAATATGGCACTTTAAAATCTCAGGGCTAGGATGAAGGAGATGTTACTGGTGCCTGCCAGAGGCAATCAACAAACAACAGGATCATCATGATCATGACATCTACCAACATGCGCCCAGTTTTGCTCAGGGACACAGGGGCAGAGAGAGCTGAGGAGAAAAACTCCTCTGAGTCCCAAATCCAGTAAAGCATCCGATGCCTTTCCCAACAACAAGAAGGCTTGGGGTCACATGTTGTTGGTGGGCACAGGGGAAAGCAAGGGAAGGGAGAGCCAGGTAATTAAGACGATGTAATTGGTCGTTTAAAATCTCGCGTGGGGCTGGAGCGATGGCACAGCGGGTAGGGCGTTTGCCTTGCACGCAGCCAACATGGCCAACACAGGTTCGATTCCCAGCACCCCATATGGTCCGCCGAGCACCACCAGGAGCAATTCCTGAGTGCATGAGCCAGGAGTAACCCCTGAGCATCGCTGGGTGTGACCCAGAAAGCAAAAAAAAAAAAAAGAGAAAGAAAATCTCGCTTGTGCTGGGGATAACCAATGACAAAGCAAAACACCTCAGACTGCATTCAGAGGGCTGGGCTGCGGGGGCAGATGGCACAGACCGATGGTGGGGGTGGGGAACCGATGCAGATCGACCACAGAGAGGACAAGAGCAAGGTAAAGGAAACCCGAGGAGAAGGCGTGGGGATCAGCAGGCTCGAAAGGAGAGGGGGTGCGGGGCTGACGTGCCGGGCCTGGGGCCGAGCCAGCCAGCGGCGATGCACCTGCGTGGGCTGGGACACGAGGGTCGGCCCGGAGAGAAGCCGCAGCCCTGCAGCTGTCTGGGGCCGCGTGTTATGCCCACGCGCTGGAGCACAGCGCCCACCCCCAGTTAGCAGCTCCAAGAGGGAGGAGCGCGGGGACGGCCCAGGGACAGGCACCTTCAAAGGGCACAGCGCGGGGAAGGGCGGGGGCACTAGCCTTGCACGGCCCCCTTGGGTGTTCGCCCTGGGGTCCCCCGAGCACCGCCACACGGCCAGTGGTGTTTCCCGAGTGCAGAGCCCGGGGAAACACCCCTGGCCGCCCCCGCGTGGCCCAAAGTGGACAAGAACTCCAGAGGGGCCGCTTCGGGATTCAAGGCAACGGACCCTGGACAGTGCCCTACGGAAAGGGGAGAGTCTGTCCAGGAGCGCACGTCGCCCGCCCGGACACCTTAAGGCCACGTCCTCAGGCTCTGGGGCAGGCTGGGGCCAAGGGTCCCCCGGGCCTGCTCCTTCCCGAAGGAAGGACGGCGCGCGTGCACCGCAGGACAGGCGGGTCACCCCTGCGGCCGTACGCGCGCCCGCGGGGCCGAGAGCGACGCCCCTCCGGAGGACGCGCGCGCGCCCGCGGGGACGGAGCGACGCCCTCGCGGACGTGCGCGCACACGGCCCCACGCGGGCCGCGGAGGCGCCGTAAAGCGCCCCGCCCGAGGCGTCGCAAAGGGCCGCGCCGCGCCGCGCCGCCTGACGGCCGGCTCCATTTTGTCGCGGCCGCCGCGCGCGTCGGACGCGTCGCTGAGCGTGGGAGCAGCCGCCCGGCGCGCCCCCCCCCCCCCAGGCGGCGGCGACATGCGGCCCGCGGACGTGGTGGAGCTGGCGGAGCCCGAGGAGGTGCAGGTGCTGGAGCCCGAGGAGGACTTCGAGCAGTTCCTGCTGCCGGTCATCGGCGAGCTGCGGCCGCGCGGGAAGCTGTGGGCCGTGGACACGCTGCTGGTGCGGATGCAGGCGCAGGGCCAGGCGGCCGAGGGCGCCCGCGGGGACGCGGCCCCCGCCCCGGCCCCGGCCCCGGCCCCGGAGGTGGCCAAGATGGCCGAGATGCTGGTGCAGCTGGTGCGGCGGATCGAGCAGGGCGAGTCGGCGTGAGCGCGCCGGCCGGTGAGCGCGCGCGGGGCGGGGGCGGGGGCGCGCACGTGCACGCGCGGGGGCGGGGGCGCTCGGGCCCCGGCGCTCCCGGGGCGCCCCGAGCCGGGGTCGCCGCCGCTGACCCGCTTTCCCCCGCAGACGCGGAGCCCGGCCGACCCGAGGAGCTGGCGCCGCCGAGCGCGCCCCCGCCCCGCCCCCGCCCGCGCCCCCGCCCGCCCCGGTCCAGCCTCGCCGTCCACTGCCCCCGCCTGCAGCGGCTTGGCCCTCCGCGAGGCCCCCGCGTCCCGGTGGGGGGCAGGAAGCGTCCCCCCGGGGGACCCGAGGACGTGGGCAGCACCGGCAGCAGGACGGCCTGACCATCGTGTGGGAACGTGGACGGGAAGCTGGACCGGAGGCCCGGCGCGGAGGGGGACGTTTCGGTTTCACGTGGCTCCTCCCCGATGTCAACTGGTCGATTCCTTGATCGGACACGGAACCTGGACCGGAGCCGAGGTCTCGGCGTGTGGACGGACGGGCGCGAGGACCCGCTGCCCTCCGGAGAATCCGGGCGGAAGGAGTGGGGGCTGCGGGGGGCCGGGGCCGGGGCGAGAGCAGAGGCTGTTGACTTGGGCCTTGGAGTGGACAGGCCCGGGTGTCTGCGAGGTTCGGGGGTGTCCGGCTGTGAGTCCCCTTAAGTAGCAGACCCGACGAGTATTTAAGGTCGAAACCCTGCCGTGTATAAAAGTCACAATAAAAGTATTGTTTGCTTGAAAAGACCGACTTAAGAGGTTACTGGGAACTTTCCAAGGGGAACGGACACTTGGTGGGTCAGCTCTGCCTCGCGCGAGGAGGGTCCGAGCTGTTGCAGGCCCCTTGGGGAGAAGCCGGTGAGAGAGGAGACCACGAGCCTAGAGTGGCCCCAGAGCTCCTGGCAGTCCGAGCTGGGGACTGGACCTCCTCTGGGGATGCCCAAGGGCCCTACTGCTCACTGCCCCTGGGGCCATCGGGGTCGCGCCCCTCCCATCCACGGAGCTGACTCCCAGTAAGCTGTCAGGTGAGCGCCTCGTGTGCACTAAGGTCCCTGCTCTCCTGCGAAGCATCTCTGGACAAGAACGAGTCCTGCGGCCTAGTAGGGGCAGAGGAGGAGCATGTGGGGGACTGTTGCGGGCAGCAGCGGGTGGGGCGAAGGTTTCTGGGGAAGCTCCTCGATGGTCCCAGAGGCCCCAGGCAGCACCTTGGCCCCCCCTCAGCCTGGCTTTCACTAAAGCTAACCCCACTCATCTGAAGCAAGCGAGAAGTCCTCTAACTGACATCCCATTCTAGAGCATTCCAGAGGCTCGACCCCTCCCTCCCCACAGAGTGCTGGCCGGTAGCACTGACCCCGAGGCCCACAGCCCCTTCATTTTGGTTTTTCAGCTGTGGCCCAACAGTCCTTTGAGAAGGTGCCCAGGACAACCCCAGAGAAACGGCCGGTGGCTCCCGTCCCCTGGGCAAGCTTGCTAGGGGCTGTAAGGAGCCCGCCCCCAAAGACCCCGCAGGCCCACGGGTGAGGCGTGGGTCTGTCGGTAGGTGTAGACACCCGTTTTCAGCCGGGCAGCCTTGGTGCCAGCACAAGTGCCTGGGACTGCCTGGGGGGGGGTTAGATAAGGAGGGAGGTGCCTGCACCATCCCAACGCCGGCTCATGCTGGCTCACACCACCCTCACGCCGCCTTCCTGGGTGTGGCCATGTCCCCTGTGGATGCAGTATGGGCCCCAGGACAGTCCCAGGCGTGCTTCCCAACCTTCCAGGCCTGGTAGAGGCACGCACCCCTGGCTGCCAAGGTCCTGCCCTGATGGCTTCTGCATCCCGGCCGGGGGCCCAGACAGGCGCGGGCGACCTGGGTGCCCCGTTCCTACAGAACGTGGGGATGCTCATCCCTGTCATCTGCAGGCTCTGGGCACCAGTGACCAAGTCCAGCCCACACGCCCTCAGATGCAGGCAGGACACACAAGCAGGGACATGGGGGTCCCCGGCACGCATCTCAAGTTCTCTGATGGGGCAGCGGGAAAAGGGGATGGTCGATGCGAGGCGAACAGCCGCACTGCTCTTCACGTGGGCAGCAAGCACGCCCCGTAGACAGCAGGGCTCCGGTGGGCTGTCCGGGGACCAGCCCTGGGGCACATTCCACCACTGACCCGCCCCCCGCCCCCCACCCTAGACACAGCCTGGGACCCGGGGCTGACCCTGGGCCCTGGCCTCTGTGTCACCTCCAGGTCCTGTCAGCTTCCCGGCTGGCCGGCACCGGTGAGGGGCCAGTGGCTGGGGGGGACACTGGGCCCAGGCGGGAAGCTCCAGGCTGGGGGCTGTGCCCAGGGCCAGGCCAACCCCTGCCCTACAGTCGCCAGCCACTGGGCCCAGGCGGGAAGCTCCAGGCTGGGGGCTGTGCCCAGGGCCAGGCCAACCCCTGCCCTACAGTCGCCAGCCGTTTCCTCCCCCAACCCCCTCCCTTCTCAAATATTTGCCTGAGCCCTTATCAAGGATAGAACTGGTTTCAGCCCAGAGGCGTGGGGGTATGTGCGTGTGGGGGAGGGGGCCTGCCTCCTCTCTCTCAGCCTCCATTCCTCCCTCGGAGCTGGAGGGTCCCGTCTTCCTCCTGTGCCCGCCCCCCCCCCCCCCCCCCCGGGTCTCACTGCAGCCCTGCGCACCCGCCTGGCCCTGAACTGTGCTGAGCAGATGCATGAGGCTCCCAGGACACAAGGAGGCGAGCAGTCAGGGGCCGGGGGCGCAGATGTGCCGATATCCCCAGAAGCTCCCAGTCAGGGCAGGGTCGCTGGACCCCTGGTGTCCCTGCCCAGCCCGCCTTCCCTGGCCCCGAAGTGTCAGTTCCCTCTTGCTGCCAAGTTGCTAATGGCAGGCCTCCCCACACCCCTTTCCCCGGGACCCCAGGATGGGGCCTGCTGCCTCCTCTCCTGAGCCTCTCCGCAGCCTGACATGCTTGCCGACACCTATGTCCGGCTTCCTGGGCCCCTGCGCAGTGGCCCCCACACACTTAATTCCGAGGAGACGCCGTGTCCGCAGTATTCAGCACCCTGGGCTGGGCCTGGTCAGTCAGGCGCCCACTCCCGGCCGTACCTCCACCATACGAGTTCCGGTGCTGATGACCATTCGGCCACTGGACTGACCCTCAGCCGTCCCAGCGTCTCTGAACCCCGTCCTCCTCGCTGGCTCTCCCGGGAACCCAGAGCCCTCAGACTGCTCCTGGCCCTCCAAGGGGACCTAGCTAGGGGACCCGAGGCGTCTGTCGGGTGTCACTCGATTCTCTCTGTGTCCTCGCTCTGGGACCGACGTCAACTTTTCTCTTTGGGGCGGTCGGGCATTTGAAGCCACACCCAGCAGTGTTCAGGGTATTCCTGACTCTGTGCTCTCTCCTGGTGGTGCTTGGGGGACCACGTGGGGTGCCGAGGATGGAACTCAGGGCAAGCGCCCTCCCCTCTGTTCTACGGCTCCGGCCCCAACTTGGCTCTTTTGGATGTAGAGGCTTTTTTTTGAAAAGTGTAGATTTCAGGGGTTTTTTGGTTTGGGCTTGGGGGCCCACCCAGTAGCAATTGGGGGGGGGGGGGGTCACTCTCAGCAGCGTTTGCCTCCCTAAGTCTAAGAACCAGGCCCAACCTGAGGGGGCAGAAAGTTCCAGACAGGAAGTGGCAGCAACCGGGCCTGGGCTGGGCAGGCCTGTCCCACCCTGTGTCAACTCAGGCTGAGCCTTATAAAGCTCCAGAGGTGCGCCGAGCCCAGAGGATCGGTTCCTGCAGCACCATGACAGAACTGGAGACAGCCATCAGCATGATCATCGACGTCTTTGCCAAGTACGCGGGCAGCGAGGGCAGCAAGCAGAGCCTGACCAAGGGCGAGCTGAAGGCGCTCATGGAGAAGGAGCTCCCCGGCTTCCTGCAGGTGACGCCTCCGCCACACGGCTCTGCCCTCTGGGAAGGACTCTGCAGCTTCTGAGCTGGGAGGGGACAGGACCAAGTCAGAATACAAGGACTTGGGGGTATTGGGGGGTGGGGGGTGGCGGCGGCTTTCCTTGTACATGGCCAGGCCATGTTCAATGCCCAGATGGCATCTGGCCCCAGGGCCCACCAGGAGGGAAGCCTGAGCACTGTGGGAGGAGGTAGGGAGGAAGGAAGGGAGAAAAGGAAAGAAGGGGGGAAGGGAGAGATGAAGAGTAGGAAGGAAGAAAGGGAGGAAGGGAGGAAGGGAGGGAGGGCGGGAGGGAGGAAGGAAGGAAGGAAGGAAGGAAGGAAGGAAGGAAGGAAGGAAGGAAGGAAAAGAAGGAAGGAAGGAGAGCACAGTGGGCAGGGCACTTGCTTTGCATGCAGGGCCCCCCAAGCACCTCAGGAGTGATGGCTGCATGCGAGCTCCTGAGAGCAGGATCCCCCGCGCAGCTATCTGGGGGAAAGTGGGATGGGACCTGCATGAGTCTCGGCAGGACCTGTGCACTCTCCAGAGTCTGACTTTGCTGGCCCTCTGCAGGGCCCGCCTGCCCGGCCCCTCCCAGTTCCTGGCTGCAGTGGGAGCACCCCCCCCCCGCCTCCCTCCTCCCCGTTCTGGGGGTCACACCCAGCAGTGCTCAGGCTGAGGGGTCACTCCTGGCAGAGCTCGGGACCCTCTGTAGTGCTGGGGGTTGAACCCAGTCAGCTGCATGTGAGGCATTGCATGCTCTGGTTTTGTTTTGTTTTGCTTTGTTTGGGGGTGTGGGAGGGGGGAGTTGAGGCCACCACAGTGCTTGCAGGATCAAACTAGGTCCCTGAGCCAGCTCCTGGGCCCCGTTTTATTTTTGCTATAATTGGCTGGTGCCTGCCCTCACAGGGCGGAAGTCCCAAGGATCAAGGGGGCCACACCTATAGCGGGAGCCAGGGGCTGTGTCCCGGGACTGCGTCTCCTGGAAAGGGCACTCTGCACATCACACAGTCCAAAGGCTCGAATCTCCTTCAAAGCATCAAAACTCCAAATCCCCTGGAAAAATCTCCAAGTGGAAGCAGAAAGCTAGCATGGGGTTTAGACACTTGCCGTGATGAGGGTGACCTGATTCAATCCCAGCATCACATAGGGTCCCCGGGCCCCGAGAGTGACCCCGGAGCACAGAGCAGGTCCTGAGCACCGCCAGGGGTAGCCCCCAAACAAGAAGCAAAACAAAGTGCATCCTCCTTCCTGGGGGGGCCCGCGAGCCAAGGGTGGCCCTTCTGTGGTCTGGGTTGGCCACACCCCATTCCGAGTCTGTCCTTCAGAGTGGACACAGCTGGGTCAGTGGGTCAGACGCTCGCCTCCCATGCACACAGGGGGACGGTCCCCAAGCACTGCTAGGAGGTGACCCCTGAGCCCCGACACGCTGACCCTGGGTTTCTGTGTCCCCTAGAATGGAAAAGAGAAGGACGCTGTGGACAAACTGCTCAAGGACCTGGACGCCAACGGCGACGCCGAGGTGGACTTCAGCGAGTTCATGGTGTTCGTGGCTGCGCTCACGGCTGCCTGTCACAAGTATTTCGAATAACTGGACTCCGTGTGGCTGCACGGCCAGGTCCCTGCCACATGTCCCAGCTCCCAGAAAGCTAGTGTTGGGATTGTCTCCTCAGGCTCAGCCCCCAGCATCCTCCGATTAATAAAATACTCATGAAACAGTCCTGGTCTCTGAGAAACGGGTAGCTGCTTGGACCCCAGTGATCCAGCACCCGGCCACGGCTGCGGGGTCCCCGCCTGCATGCCCCGGCCCACCCACTGCTGCAGACAAGGGCAGTGACCAGTCCAGTGGCCTCTGGTTCAGCCGGGCTCACCAGAAATGGCCTACTGGGTGGGCATCAGTTTCGAGGTCGGAAGGAAGCAGGGTTCACTGAGTGTGCCGAGTGGGGGGTCCCCAGAGGCCTGTCCCAGCAGCACTAGCTTGTACGCTTCTCTTAGCTGCAGACTGGGGGAAGTACCTGGCACCTGGGGCGAGTCCCTGCTGTGGGCCCTGCGGCCACTGGTGTTTCTGCCGGCCACGCCCTTCACAGGCTCTGCTGGTGTAACTTGGGCGGGGCCGGGACTGTTTCTGCCCCAGGGGACTGTTTTTCAGCGGAGGAACATCCTGGTTACAGGGCACTGACCGAGGGGCATTCTGCCGAGTGCCAGATGGACGGAAGCAGACCAGACCTCAGCGGCCTTTGGTGAAGTGTCTCCTCTCGCCATCCCCTCAGACAGCTGCACCCCGCTCCCTTCCTCCTGGGGCTGCCGTCCTCCTCCCCAGGGCCTCTACTTACTTGGCCAGCCCCCTCCAGCACCCTCCTCTGACCTCTGTCCTCTCCCGTGCCCAGGTCCTCGGCAGAGCAGACACCGGTTGGCCTGGCCAGCTGCTTTTCCCTTGGGTCAGGGCAGCAGATTTTTCTTCTCCCTGTCCCTTACCTTGGCAGTCACGATGTCCAGGGGCCCTCACGCAGTTCCTTGCCAGCCGAGGGTGGCCGGATGTAGGCAGGGAACGTGAGCCATCAGCAGTGCCGGACAAGTGAAAGCGAAATCTGTGTGTGCATGCGAGTCCCAGGTCTTCCATCTTTTCCTTTTTTCTTTTGGCTTTTTGGGCGATGCTCTGCCCAAACCCACTCCTGGCTCTGCACTCAGGAACCACTTCCGGCATTGCTCAGGGGACCACGGGGGTGCCGGGGACCCAACCGCAAGGGCCGCGTGCAAGGCAAACAAACGCCCTCACCTGGGTACAATCACTCCAGCCCCTCTTCAAAATCTTCAAGAATTAAAATATTGAATAAAGACTCTCGGACTCGGAGTTGAACAGTAGGAAAGTTTATTGGAAAGCAGAAAAGAAAAGGAGCTCCCCGAGAGGGGAGGGCTGAGCACCGGACTAAGTGAAGGGAGGGGGTTTCGTGAGGCCGCTTTAAGGGCTCCTGGCATTCCTGATCGGGTCGCAAGAGGTGCCAGAAAATTACAATGTTGTCCAGCTGGGCATTTGTGCCCCTTGTCTTAGTCTCCTGTCGGCTGAGGACAGACTTTTACGGTCCTGAACGTCCTCTGACCACTGGGGCAGGACTTTGGGAATGAAATGTGTCAGGAAATGTGGGGGGAGGCGGCAAGGGGAAGCTGCTGGAGGAAGGTTGTTTCCTTCTTCACTGGCAAGGGAAGCAAACCTTCCGGGCCTATGTTTCCCCACCAGCCTAGACAGAATTGGCTGCGATCTCAGTTTCCCCGTCTGCCTGGAGTACAGGGCAGAGCTTTGTGTTCCTGGGAAGGCCTGGGAAAACCCAGAGAGAGCCTTAGGGGTGGTGTGTGTGTCAGGCTGATGGGGGAGAGATGGAACATCTGGGAAGAAACTGTGGCTTTCTCTCTCACTGGCAATGGGGAAACTGAGGCTTCCTCTTGCATTAGCCCAACCCTTACTCATGTGGGCCTCCAGAACAAGCCCCAGTCAGCCGTGTGATCCTGCAAATTGGAGAATCTGCATCCTACAGTCCAGGAGTGGCATCTGCAGGAAAACTGTCCTGAGAAAGTAACCACAGTGCAGTGACGAGACCAGGAGGGCACCCCGAAATTCAGCAGCGTATCACTGAAAGTAATAACCTTCAGGGACAATAAGTCTCCTCCCAGAAGACTCCTATGCCAAGATGTTAAAGAGCTCATGCTGGGGGTATGGTGCCGCCTGCAGGTCAATCTGTACCGGTGAGGCGAGTGTATCAGCAGCCTGGTGGCGCCTTCAGACTTCCAGATACCCCAAAATTGCTGCTGTGCATTTGGCCAGACCCCAAAAACTTGGGGCAGTTTACTAAGAAAGTAAATGGCCAAAATTTAAGTATGTGGGAGACACACCCACAAACCACCTCCGGCTCAGCTATATAATTGGAGGCATGGCCTCTCTGGCTCCTGATTGAATTGCTTAACGGCCATGATCCCAGAGACTCAGAAACAAATCTTGAAACCTAGCGGTTTTTGGCAGAAATGCGTCCGATCCCTGCAGTAGGTCACCGGTGCTGGGCTAACCCAGGTGGGAATAGGTTTTGTGCCTTGGCCTGTTCCCCCTGGCGACCCGGTGGCCACCATCCTCCAGGGACCACTGGACAGTCAGATTTGGGCCTGCAGTGACGAGACATTTTGGGCCTCACAGGATGGGGGTGGAGCCGGTCCTGTCCTCCCCGCCCCAACAAGACCCCAAATCATTGCCCACGAACGGTCTGACTCCTGATCAAGCTGCTTAATGGCCATGATCCCAGAGACTCAGAAACAAATCTCGAAACCCAGCGGCTTTTGGCAGAAATGAGTCCAGACCCCACAGTAGGTTACTGTCACCAGGCCACCCCCAGGGCAAAGGGGTGCTGTCCCTCCACCTGTTCCTCCTTGGTGGCTCGGTGGTCACCATCCTCCAGAGGCCATTGGTCAGGACTGGGCCTGCAGTGACAAGACACGCAGGGCCTCACGGGATGGGGGTGGAGACGGCCCTTTCCTCTCTGCCCCAAAGAGATCCCGAGTCGCCACCCACGAACAGCCTCTCTGGCTCCTGATCAAGCTGCTAAATGGCCATGATCCAAGAGACTCAGAAACAAATCTCGGAACCCAGCAGGTTTGTTAAAATTTCAGAATTCCAAAATTGTGCAGCCACAACTCCGCGCGACATCGTATGTTATTCATAACCAGCAATAGAAAACAAATTTTCTACTGTTGCCTTTTTGGCAGATCTGAGTGTTGGGGTAAAATCCCAAATAATGGTGGGTCTGGTGTCAAAATATTGAATGTAATCCAAGTAGAGAGTAATGTGGAAATCATCTGCCCCACAGGTAGGGGGAGGGTGCTGAATGGGGGGAATATATGGGGTTTTGGGGGGTGGAAAATTGGCACTGGTGAAGTGACGGGTGTTTCATTGTATGACCAAGACTTCAACCCGAAATCTTTTTTTTTGTTTGAATTTTTATTAGTGAAACACCATGAGGTACAGTTGTAGACTTACAAATTTTTGTGCTTGGGTTTGTTATACAATGATCAAGTACCCATCCCTCCACCAGTGCCCATTTTCCACCACCACGGGTCCCAGTATCTCTCCCAACCCCCATCCCCCCATCCCCCCCGCCTCTGTGACAGGGCATTCCCTTTTGTTCTCTCAAAAATATGGAACGCTTCCCGAATTTGCGTGTCATCCTTGCACAGGGGCCATGCTAATCTTCTCTATATTGTTACAATTCTAGTATATGTGCTGCCGAAGTGAGCACTCAACCCGAAAGCTTTGTAACTGCCCTCACGGTGATTCAATAAATAAAAGTATATTTTAAAAAAGGTGGAGTTTATGCATAATTCAATCGGCCTAATCAATGGCTGAATAAATAGCAATACTCCTACATTAAGCACTGTCCTCCCGTTGTTCATCCTTTTTTGCTCAAGCGGGCCCAGTAACGTCTCCATCGTGAGACTTGTTACTGTGTTTGGCATATTGAATACCTCACGAGTAGCTTGCCAGGCCTTGCCGTGCGGGACTCCTACATTAAAAAAAAATTTTAAAAAGAGGTCATGCTGCCAGCTGCAGCCCTGAGGGCCCTACAGTGGTGACCCCAGTATCCCCAACACCAGTCCCAAGCATGAAACCATCCGCCTGCACAGTCAAGCCAAGCATTGCAGAACACTGCAAGGGAGGCCCCCCAGAAGATCAACCATCTGTGAAGATACTGCTCCACACCACTCTCCGGACTTGATGAGGATGAGGTGGTCTATACAATGGAGCCGCAGCAACCACTGTACAGTCATGAAGACAAAGTGATGAGAACCATATAAGAGCTCTGACCTCATGGGGTGCCCCCTCAGGGAGCCGCTGCTACTCCTGTGTGCACGGGAGGGCTCAGAGGCTGCCCACTCAGTGAAGGGAGTCGAAGGCTCTCTGCAGGGCTGCCCAGCACCAGGCAGGACAGCAGGCAACACGGGTGTTCTCGGCCCAGAGGCATGGCGGTCTCATGCCACTCTGCAGTCGGATTGTCCTGGGTACGTTACCCATGACTCTCTGCCAGTCATCTCCAGGATTTTGCAGACTGCCCATCAGGCAAGGGTAAGCTTCAGTGAGCCCCAAATAGAAATTTGGACCAATCTTCTTTATTAATCTCTCACGTTCTTTTCGGTTTTTTGAGGCTACTTGTAACAACAATGGTCTTTGACCATTAGGAAAAGAGACAGGCAGACTCAGAAATTCAGCCCTTGCTGTGCACCAGATCCAAGGTCATGACAAAGAGTTACTGAGAATGCATCTGGAAGGTTCTGTTCCAGGAGATAACACAAAAATCTTTTTTTTTTGGCAATGCCCTGCCACAGAGGCAGGGTGGGATGAGGGGGATGGGGGTGGGAGGGATACTGGGACCCGTGGTGGTGGAAAATGGGCACTGGTGGAGGGATGGGTATTTGATCATTGTATAATTGAAACACAAGCACAAAAATGTGTAAATCTACAACTGGTGTTTCACTAATAAATATTTAAAACAAAAAAAACTTTTTTTTTTCTTTTTGGGTCACACCCAGCGATGCACTCAGGGGTTGGTTACTCCTGGCCGTGCTCGGGGGACCATATGGGATGCTGGGAATCGAACCCGGGTCAGGCCGCTTGCAAGGCAAACTCCCTACCCGCTGTGCTATCACTCCAGCCCCCAACACTTAAAAATCTTTAGCTTTAGGGGCCAGAGCGATAGCACAGCGGGTAGGGAGTTTGCCTTGCACACGGCCGACCCGGGTTCGATTCCCAGCATCCCATATGGTCCCCCAAGCACGGCCAGGAGTAATTCCTGAGTGCATGAACCAGGAGTAACCCCTGTGCGTAGCCAGGTGTGACCCAAAAAGCAAAAAAAAAAATCTTTAGCTTTAGGGGCCAGAGCGATAGCACAGCCAGGAGGGTGTTTGCCTTGCACGTGGCCTATCCAGGTTCAATCTCCAGCATCCCATATGGTCCCTGGACCGCCAGGAGTAATTCCTGAGTGCAGAGCCAGGAGTAACCCCTGCGCATCACCAGGTGTGGCCCCAAACAATACAACAAAAAACCCTAAACCTTTTTTGCAGAATTCAGTAAGAACATCAGAAGTGACACAATGTTCTCCTTCTGCCTTTTGAACCTGTTCCATTACTGCCCGTGGTCAGTTTGATCACTTAAGATGTTTGCATTCACGGCCGAGCGACATCTTATTACCTAGTTCTTACTCTGGAGAAACTGGCAGGCTACCAAAAGTATCCTGCCCACGGGGCTGGAGAGAGAGCACAGCGGGTAGGGTGTTTGCCTTGCACACGGCAGACCCGGGTTCGATTCTCAGCATCCCATATGGTCCCCTGAGCACTGCCAGGAGTAATTCTTGGGAGTAATTCCTGAGTGCAGAGCCAGGAGTAACCCCTGTGCATTGCCCCAGGTGTGACCCAAAAAGAAAAAAATATTCAAAAGTATCCTGCCCACATGGCAGTTTGGCAAACTCCCCGTGGCGTATTCAATATGCCAAAAACCAGTAACAATGAGCCTCGAATGTGGCACTTTCTAAAATCTCAGGGCTAGGATGAAGGCGATGTTACTGGTGCCTGCTCAAGGCAACCGATGAACAACAGGATGACAGTGATACAGTGAAGATGTTTGTAGAAATGGTACCAGCTGCACCTAGAACACTGTGACAGAAACTTGTGTCCTTGAGGCCAGAGATGCAGGCTCAAACCCTGGCACCCTTTCTGCTCTCCTGAGCCCGAAAGGTGTGATTCCTGAGCACAGCACCAGGAGTAATCCCTGAGAATAGCCGGGATCGGGACAAAAAGAAAAAGCAAGGACGTGTTCCAAGAATGCCTGGGGCAGATGGGCCCAAGGAATACAAGTCAGCTCGGACAGCCTGCACTGGCCAAGCCCAGGACTTCTCCATTCTATTTTCTGAGTTTGGGCCACACTCAGTAATGCCAGCAGGGGGTCACCCCTAGCGGAACTCAGGACACGGATACTTTGAACCTCTACCAACATTCTGTCCTTCTCACACTTACCTGTTGGCATGACCTGACGGTTTTGCATGATTGAGTGGGTGGGAACTGTCACTACCATTATTTGCTCTGATACTCCCACTGGCTAACGAGAGCGCGTTCAGGGGAGCTCCTCAGTCCTTTCAACCTATCGACAACATTCCTGAAACACATTCTCACCATTTCATCAAGATGCCTGGATGTCTTCCATTCCCATGGCTCTGGCTCCGGAGTTCTCCAGCAGGTCTGCTGCTCTCATGGAAGACGGTACTCAGAAGTCAAGGGCTGGGAACCACTGTTTTCCCCTCCCTTGCGAACTGAACTGGGCAGTACTGAGCAGCCAAGTTCACTTACACACAGGGTGAGTCCACGCCCACGACGCAGACACCTCCAACTTCCACCCTCCCTCAGGCTCCATCACGTAGTGTAGTGACTTGCTCAAATTTGTCTCCCCTCGCTCCATTATGTCTAGCCTTGATATTCTGATTGCCTTAGTGAGGACAGAGGTGCAGGCATTGCCATGGGCCAACTGAACATCCCTCTGTGCAGAACAGCAGGGGCCTTCGCAAAAGAATGGCTGCATCTGGTTTTTGCCAAGAACAGAGTGTTCTTGGGGCTGGAGTGGCAGTGCAGAAGGTAGGGCAATTCCCTTGTGTGCGGCCCACCCCGGTTCATCCCCAGCTCCCCATAGGGTCCCCTAAACCCCGCCAGGAGTGAGCCCTGAGCACCACTGGATGTGGCCCAAAAGACAAAAAAAAAAAAAAATTCATGTTCTGTCATCTCAGCCTGCAGCACCTCCCCGTGCCATTCTCCTGGCGAGCCTTACGGAGAACTTCAAGCAGAAGCACTTAACTCGCTCCTTCCACCTGGTGACAACACGAGAGCATCCATTTCCAAATAACTTTATTAATTTGTATCACATAAAGGGCTTTGGTCTTTTAAACAAAATATTTACCTTAAAAAAAGCCTTTTTAGGTATTTGTTTTACAAGGCAAATAAACACGTTTTCACCCGAAGTACCCATCTAATGCATCACCCTGAAGAACTAAGGGGCTCTGCGGGTCCTAAATGCCGCCACCCCTGGCTGTCTTCCAAGATTGTCTCTGTCGCAATTCGCCAAAAGCCCTAGGGTGCAGGGCCACAGCAGGAACCTGGCTCCCTCATTCCCTACGCAGCCTGTGTGCCCAGGGTCGGCTACACTCTCAACACAAACTCAACCGATGGGTCACACTAGTGCCGCAGTGCCCCGCGGAGGGTGCGTGCCCGCTCGCTGCAGCCTCCAGCTCCTCCGGCGTAGCCTTCTACCGCTCCCAGCAGCCTGGGCTGGAAGACTCTGGCCCCTCCTCCTGTTCCCAGGTTCCGGAAAAAGTCGGGTCATAGCAAGAATCAGCACAGGAGAAGGCCACAGGCAACGCCTGACATTTCAACGATGCGGCTGCACGGGAACAAATGCGAACAAACAACCTTGGGATCAGCCAGCCCCAGGGCCCGCTCGGGAGAACCAGGTGAGGAACCAACGATCCGAACACGTTCACGCGAAGGTCGCCAACCCGCGGCTCCGGAGGGGCAGCGTCACAATGAGGAGAGGGCAGGGAACAGAACAAGAACACAAGGGCAGAAAACAGCACGCTGCTTCCGAGCTCTCGAGATGCTGGCTCCTCCGGGCCTGGGCGGGATCATGGGGACCTGAAGCATCAAAACAGGGAAACCCGGTCAGAGGCGCATCCTGGGTGGCAGGCCCGCTGGGGCCCGAAGCCCGGCTCCATGGAGGGTCCGAGCCTGCCAGGAGGGGTCGGGCAGTCGCTGCAGCCCCAGCACGAGACGCGCGAGGGCGCCCTGGAGAGCGCGCCTGTCCCGCCCCGACCCACCCGCTGCGCGAGGGCCTCGGCCCCTTGCCTCCCTGCCCCGGCTGCTGCAGCCGTTGCAGTGGACGTCCAGGCCTCACCACCCCGTCCCGGCCCTCGAAGAATGAAGCCGCCGGGCGCGCAAAGCCCGATGTGCTGAGGACGCCCCCGTGAGGGCCAGCCCGCCGTCTGCTCCCAGGCTCCGCACCGGTTCCCACCAGGACCGACCCAGCGCAGAGCCGGACTCGGCCCCGAGCACCCAAATCAGACGCACGCGAGCCACCGCCTTCCCTCTCGTTTCCAACACGGGGCAGAGACCGCACCGACCGGCCCCGGGAGCGAACCCGACGCTGGGAGCGCCCCGCGCGCCTCCCAGCCACCCCACCACCGCGCCCCCCTGGCCCGACGTCCACCCGCCCCGCGACGCCCCGCGCTGCCTCCCCGCGCCCCGCATCCCCCGAAGTCTGGGGCCGCTCCCGCCCCGCCCCCGCGTCCTTTCCCCGCGTCCCCCCCCGTGCCCTCGCCCCCCCCCGCGCGCGCTCACCGGCCGGCGCGCTCACGCCGACTCGCCCTGCTCGATCCGCCGCACCAGCTGCACCAGCATCTCGGCCATCTTGGCCACCTCCGGGGCCGGGGCGGGGGCCGCGTCCCCGCGGGCGCCCTCGGCCGCCTGGCCCTGCGCCTGCATCCGCACCAGCAGCGTGTCCACGGCCCACAGCTTCCCGCGCGGCCGCAGCTCGCCGATGACCGGCAGCAGGAACTGCTCGAAGTCCTCCTCGGGCTCCAGCACCTGCACCTCCTCGGGCTCCGCCAGCTCCACCACGTCCGCGGGCCGCATGTCGCCGCCGGAGCCGCCGCCCGCGCCCGCCGCCGCGCCGCAACCGCCGCCGCCGCCCGGCCACGCCCGCGCCTTCGCGACGCGCCGCGCAGCTTGACGGCCAGGGCGCGCGCACGCCGCGGGCGCGCTCCCGGCCCCACCCCCTGCGCGCGCCCCCGCCGCGAGAGGCCCCGGGCCCTGCTCTCCGCTGCCCCCGGGCGGCCTTCTGGAGCTTCCGCGTTTCCTTCCTAATTGTCCGCACTTGGCGGGGCAGAGTCACTTTCCCTCGTAAGAGGAGGGCCGGGGCCGGCGTGCTCGCGACTCTTCGCCTCCGTGCCAAGTGCCTGTCCGTCTCGGGGTCCTGTGCTGGACACTGTCCACCGGGAGGTGGCAGACGCGGGGCTTGTGGATAAGGAAGCAAAGCCCTAGACCTGGCGCACACGCTTCCTCTTCTCCGCAGCCTTTGGGGCGGGGGAGGGAGCCGCGGTGCCCATCCAGGGGTCACTCCTGGCTCTGCGCTCTGGGGTCCTGCCGGGCGGTGCTGGGGCACCTTGTGCGGGGCGATACCCCGTGGTCAGAGTCTCGCAAGGGTCCAGGGATGGCTTTAAGTCATACCTTACATTTTAGGGACAACCTTAAATAACATTTAATCCATGTGATCCAGTAATCCCATGACTTGATTTACCGGGGTCAGAGTCTAGCCAGGGCCATTGGGGTGGGGGGATGGTCTTAAGTCTCGCCAGCACCTCCCTCTGCACCACCAGGCTTGGTGGGTAAGAGAGCCCTTGGCAATGAGTTTCAGGAGGAGTTTAAAAAAAAAAAATCTGGGGCTGGAGCAATAGCACAGTGGGTAGGACGTTTGCCTTGCATGCAGCCGACCCTGGTTCGATTCCCAGCATCCCATATGGTTCCCCAAGCACCGCCAGGAGTAATTCCTGAGTGCAAAGCCAGGAGTAACCCCTGTGCATTGCTGGGTGTGACCCAAAAAGCAAGAAAACAAAAAAAAATCTAAGAAATGTTTGGAAGTTGCCCAGCCCTGCCTGTGGCTCCAGAATGGGGACACCAGCCCAAACCCAAAGGCTGGGCCACCCCTCACCCCCCACAAGAGAGGATTTGGTAGGAACAAAGATCCTAATAAGATGGAATCAAAACTCCTCCTTTCCCCCAACTTTGAACACTTTTTCCTTGACAGTGTCTTAGTAAGGACTCTTAGCTGCACGAAAAGCCCACGCCAAGGCAGCTTGGGAAAGGCCTGGAGGATCAGCTCTGCAAACATTTTGTCAGTGCCCACACAGCCCAACTTGGGCCGCCCAACATCTGCCCACTGTCTGACCACTCCAGTGGAAAACAGTTTGACTCAATGTCAAAGTGAAAACAACCCAAACTGTTCATCAGCAAGAGAACATATAGAGAATTTCTTCAACGATGTTTTATTTTTTCCTTCATAACTTACTCCAAAAACATTGCGCCTTGTGCCACAGAGTACAACAGTTAAGGTGCTGGCCTTGCTCAAGACTAATCTGGATTAGATCTCCAGGATGACAAGGGGACCCAAAGTTAGCAGAAAAGCAGGTGACTGAAAGATAGCTGGGAAGCAGGATGCTCTGAGGATGCAAAACAGGAGGCTCCAAATTTAGACAAATACACATTTCTCTTTTCAGCTGCCCAGAAAAAATTTTAATCGTACAAGGCTAACCACAAAAAACGTCTGGTTTCTGTACTAAATATGCTTGCTTGCTTTAGCTACTGAGAAAGTTGATCAACGTTGCCAAGCAGGATGTGATAAAAACGTATAAAAACTCTGTCCAGACTCAGGTTCAGGGCCGATCGTTGTGCTGAGATTGCTTGCAGGCTTAGCAGCCTCGCAGGTGAATAGACTCTTCCAGTCGGCAAACTAACTTGTTCGAGCCTTCTTGGAAAAATTCTCACTCTCACCAGCACCCCAGAGGGTTCCCTGAGCCCCACTAGGAATGACGCCCAAGCACAGAGCCAGGAACAAGCCCCATCCCCGTCCAAAAATGAGCAGCTCAAATCGACCATCGTTCCTCATCGCATACATCTCAGCTGAAAGTATTTCAAAGACGCGGTTAGGATAGCAGCTGCCACAGCTGGAGAGATGCTACAGCGGGCAAGACGTTTGCCTTGCTCGCAGACGACCCGTCCTTTCCCCAGCATCTTGTGGGGCCTCCGGCACTGCCCGGAGTGATCCTGCGTGCAGAGCCGGGAATAACCCCCGAGCACCGCGGGGTGTGGCCCAAACCATCGACCAGAGGGCAGCTGCAACTCCAGCCCTTTCCGGACGCGCGGGGCTGCAGCCCCGGCCTCCAGGGGCGCCCCCCTGCGGCCGCCCACAGACGCGCTCCACTCCCTGCCCTGCGGGTCTCCACGGGCCGGCCCGGGAGCGCAGCGGCTTTCCCCGGGAGGAGGCTGGCGAGCCGGGGCTGAGGCGCCTCCTCCGTGAGCCTCTTGAGACAAACCGGGTGGTTTGGGCGACGCCAGGGCCGAGGCGGAGGGAGCCGCGGGCTCTGCGGGGCGCGAGGACCGGGGCGTCACCTCACAATGCCGAGGGACTCGCGACCACACCCTCCGACGCTGGGGGCGGGGGTTCGCGTGGCGCCCTGGATGCACCCGGTGGGGCGCGGTCAGCGCCAGCGCCCCGCCCTCATTATGCCGCTGGGGGCCCCCGCCCGGCCCGGCCCCTTCACGTCACTCGGCGGCGCGCGCCCCCGAGCCACCCAGAGGGCCCGAGACGGCGTCGGCGCGCGCGCGCTGAGCGGAAATGAGCGCGCGTGCGCGCGCGGGCCGGAAGCGACGCGCCCGGGCCGCGCGTGCGCGTGCGCAGACGGGAGGCCGCGCGGCGTGCTGCGCGGGCGCGGGCGCCGCCGGAAGCCGGAAGCGGGAAGCCGGGAGCGGGCTCTGGAGCCCCGCCGGCACGGGCGATGGACGGGCTCTCCGGGGAGGACGCCGAGCCCCAGGGCGCCGCGTGGAGCGGGGACAGCGGCCACGTGTCCCAGAGCCAGAGCAGCGCGTCGGGGCCCTGGGAGGACGCGGGCCCCGAGCCCGGCGCGCCGGGCCGAGACCTGGCGCTGATGCGGCGCGTGGCCGCGAGCTACGCCGCCTGCCTGCTCCCGGGGCCCGGCGCGCCGCCCGAAGTGCAGGCGCTGGACGCCGGCCTGGAGGAGCTGCTGGCGCGCGTGGACGAGTTCGTGGGCATGTTGGACATGCTGCGCGGCGACTCCTCGCACGTCGTGCGCGAGGGCGTGCCGCGCATCCACACCCGGGCGGCCGAGATGCGGCAGGTGTACGGCAAGATCGACCGGCTGGAGGCCTTCGTGTCCATGGTCGGCGCCAGCGTGGCCAGGCTGGAGGAGCAGGTGGTCCGCGCAGAGGCCGAGCTGGGCGCCTTCCCCAGCGCCTTCCGCAGACTCCTGCACTCCGTGAGCGTGCCCGCCCTCTTCCACCGGGCGCCCCCGGGCCGGACCTCGCCGGGCCGCTACGAGCCCCCCGCCCTGTTTCGGACCGAGGACCACTTTCCCGGGCTCAGCGAAGCACCCCAGGTCTGAGGGGGCCGCAGCTCACCGCAGAGGACCCGGTCTGAGCGGGCCCCTCGCCCGGCCCGCGCGAAGCTTGGGGCGGTAAACTGCGGAGTGGGGCCCGCTCGCTCTTGGACCAGCCTTGGTGGTCTCACGTGTGGTTTTCTGTGTCTCCCGCGTCTGACCCAGAGGCAACGGGCGGGTCAGGAGTCGGGCGCCAGATGAACCTTGGGCCAGGGCTGCAGAAGCGTTGCCTGTAGTGGGCCCCGCAGCCCACCCCCCGGCGCCGCCTCACGGTTTGCACACTCATATGCTCCAAGGAAAACCATCAGCGCTCCCCTTCAAGCCTGGCTCCTCTTCCTCGTAGTGCGATTCGGGTTTCTGTAACTTGCTGGGGGAGGGGGGGGGGGTCCGGCGTTGGATTATTTGGCATTAAAACTTCCCGTGTAGCATGGGTTTGTAAGCTGAGAAAGTGCATGAATGCATTGGGGGCAGATTCTGCAGTTGTATTTGGTCACACTTGCCACGTCCCCAGCCCGTGTGCCCATCACCTTAATTTGCCAAGCAGTGTTTATACGACCTCTATATTGGCCTCTATATTGCAGCCAGTGTTTGGTTTCTAGTTATTAATACATTGTAAGAGTCTTATTGGAAACACTTTCTTCTGGGCAGTTTGATTGCTTGTTTGAAAACAGACCTGTGAGGTGGGGCAGCAGAGATAGCACATGGGGACCACAGTATGGGCCCGGTCCCGGCCAGGAGTGATCCCTGGGTGCCACTGGGTGTGACCCTAAAACAGCCAAATAGGCCTGAGCACAAAGGGGGTCGATGACCAACACACACAAGAAATGAAAATCGGGATTTTTATATGGGAGCAGGCCACGTGCAGGTGCCCAGCACTTAGTCTTCTTCCTGGCTCTACTCAAGGCTCACTCCTGCTGGTGCTCCGGGACCATACGCGGTGCTGGGGGCCCAACCCAGGCAAGCACCTTCCCCTGCTGTCTGCTCAGGCCACTGGAGTTTAGGATTGGGGTAAAGAAACGTGGATTGGGCACCTTCATTAGAAGGCAAATATGGAAAATTGACCTTTACTACCTGTGATGTATTCGATATGCCAAACACGGTAACAAGTCTCATAGTGTTACTTGGGCCCACTCAAATCGAACAATGGGAGGACAGTGACAGTGACTTTCACAGTATTTTTTTTTTGAAGGGGGTCACATCTGGTGGAGCTTGGGGGAGGTGTTGAGCCCTTGTATGGCGTGCAAAGCTTGTATCCAGCAGCATCTTCAAGCCTGGCCGAGGCATCTTACTGAGAGCGCCAACACTACCCCTGGAACATCTCTATGCGCCCCCTCCCCCCCACAGCCACTCCATTCCCACCTGGGTGATGCAGACCTCAGCTGCTCCCCTGCTTCCCTGTCCAGGCTCCTGACTGGGAGAACCAGAACACAGACCTGCGTGCATGAGCCGGGCTGACCCCCAGCACCTCCTCAAAAGGCGAGTAACCATAAGTAAGCCCAGAGCAGGGGCAGAGGGTCCGCGAGAGGAGCAGTACCCTGGATCTGGGTCTGAGCCAAATTGCAGAGAGAGACCCTAGCACCACCCCGTATGGCCCCACTGCCCCCCAAAACAGAACAAGAGACAGCGAGCATTGCTTAACAGCTTCGTTAGCCTCTTGAGATATTAACATGCCACTGGCATCTTTCCTGGTAGAGGTGTCTCCCGCCTCCCTGTCTTGTCTGGGCAGGAGGCCCAGCACGTCCCCTGGATGGGGTCTCCTTCCATGCTGGGGTTGTGCAGTGAGAGTTAATAATTTCTTAGGGTATGGTGCTGCCAGCAGGTCAATCTACCTATGAGGCGAGTGTATCAGCAGTCTGATGGCGCCTTCAGACTTCCAGATACCCCCAAATCGCTGCTGTGCCTTTGACCAGACCCCAAAAACTTAGGGTAATGTTTACCAAGAAAGTAAGCAGCCAAAAGTTAGGTATGTGGGAGACACACCCACAAACCACCTCCGGTTCAGCTATACAATTGGAGGCAAGGTCTCTCTGGTTCCTGATCAAACTGCTTAATGGCCATGATCCCAGAGCCTCGGAACCCAGTGGCTTTTGGCAGAAATATGTCTGGTCCCTGCAGTAGGTTACCAGCACTGGGTCACCCCAGGTGGAAATAGGTTTCATGCCTTGGCCTGTTCCCCCTGGCGGCTTGGTGGCCGCCATCCTCCAGAGGCCACTGGATGGTCAGGTTTGGGCCTTCAGTGACGAGACCTGCAGGGCCTCACGGGATGGGGTTGGAGCCATTCCTTTCCTCCCTGCCCCAATGAGACCCTGAGTCGCCGCCCACAAACAGCTTCTCTGGCTCCTTATCAAGCTGCTTAATGGCCATGATCCAAGCAAGAGACTCAGGAACAAATCTCAGAACCCAGCAGGTTTTGGCAGAAATCCCTCCAGATTTAATTGTTGAAATTTCAGAATTCCAAAATCGCGCAGCCACATCTGCAGCTGTGTGACATCATATGTTGTTCATAACCAGCAACAGAAAACAAATTGTCTACTGTTGACTTTTTGGCAGATCTGAGTGTTGGGGTAAAATCCCAAATAATAATGGTGGGTCTGGTGTCAAAATATTGAATGTAATCAAAGTAGAGAGTAACGTGGGAATCATCTGCCCCAGGAAGGGGGAGGGTGTGGGATGGGGGTATACTGGGTTTTTTGGTGGTGGAAAATGGGCACTGGTGAAGGGGCGGGTGTTTCAATGTATGACCGAGACTTAAACCTGAAAGCTTTGTAACTGCTCTCATGGTGATTCAATAAATAAAATGATTAAAAAAAAAAAAAAAGGAAAAAACAAAACTCACTGTTGTTGAAAACTCCTGTTGTTCATTGATTTGTTCAAGCGGGCCCAGTAACGTCTCCATCGTGAGACTTGTTGTTACTGTGGCATATTGAATACGTTATGAGTAGCTTGCCAGGCTTTGCCGTGCGGGTGAGATACTCTCGGTAAAACAAAAAACAAATTATTTCTTAGAACACAGTTTCCGAACTGACCTAAAAACCCCTATGATAAGGAAATGCATTTATTTTGTCTCTTTGTGTACATTATTTTTTAATTTAAAATATTTGGAGGTTTGAGGAGGTCACTGGCACCTCGTGCCCCCTGGTCTCTGGATGGTCCTGGAATACACCAGGTCCAGCCTATGGGGCCACCTGAGCAGTTCCTGGCCCTGCAGAGCTGGGACGGCCTGGGCCTCACGGCACTGTTTGGGATCCCCACCCCCCACGATGCTTTATATGTTTTTATTTAATTTTTCTTATTTCGGTTTATTTTCAAAGCAGTGGGAATTTCAAACCATCCCTGGTCACATGACATCCTGGGGCCTGCTCTCATGCGAACTGCGATACCCCCCTTTGTCAGTAGGGGGCGCTGAGAGCAGGAACGGCCTCAGAAGGTGCAGCCCTGGTTGGACTCTGGGACGCATCCACAGGTGCTGATGAGTCACAAGCGGCAGGACAGAAGCTGCCGGACTATGCCCCGTACAGCTCGTGGGGCAGGTGTGTGAAACAGTGGGCAGTGCCACCGTGTTTGTCCTTTTGGGTCTGACTTTTTTCTTTTTTTGGAGGTGGGGGGATTTGGGCTGCAGCTCCTGCTCAGGGTTCACTCCTGACTGTGCTTGGGGATCCTGGCAGTGCCAGGGATTGAACCCGGGTCAGCCACAGGCAAGCACCCTACTTGCTGTGCCCATGTCTGACCCCTGTCTGGCCCGTTTCACTTTAGATAACGTCTTCCAGTTGCCCGTGGCCGGTTTTCGTTCCCTTCGAAGGCGGGGAACCTCTGAGGGGCCTGCGCTCGCTCCATCCCGGCAGGGGCTTCTGACACTTTTCTGGCTATTGTGAATGACGCCCGTGTTGCTTTTGTCTGTTGTGTTTTGGGGCCACACCTGGTGGTGCTCAGGAGATTTGTGGTTTGTGGCAGTGCTCGGGGTTGAATCCAGGTGAACAATGACCCCAAAACAGAAGAGGCGAAAGACTTGAGACTTAAACATTGAAAACTCTTTTGTTGATTTTGTGTGCTTTTTGTTTGTTTGGAGGCCACACCGGTGGCTGCTCAGGAATCACTCCTGACAGTGCTCAGGGCACTATATGTGGAACCAGAAATCAAACCCAGACTGACTGCCTGCAAAGCCAGCCCCTCCCTGCTGTGCTAGCTCTCCAGTCCCTACACGGGAAACTCTTTAGTTGCTATTAAGAGGTAGAGGGAGGTAGAAGAATACAGGAGTGGGCAGGTGGGGAGAGAGAGCCCAGGCTGCGAGATGAAGCGCAGAGAGATGAGCGGGAGACACAGCAGGAGACGGGAATGAGGGGCGTGTGAGACGAGAATGGGAGGCTCAGACGGGGGCAGGCGCGTGGGGAGAACGGAATAAACGGCATCTGATCAGTAGCAAAATAAATAAAAAATAAAAGATAGAGGAAAGGGGCCGAAGCGATAGTACAGTGGGGAGGTCATTTACCTTGCACACCGCTGGTGTAGGTTCTTTTCTTTCTTTCTTTTTTTTTTTTTTTGCTTTTTGGGTCACACCCGTCAATGCACAGAGGTTACTCCTGACTCATGCACTCAGGAATTACTCCTGGCGGTGCTCAGGGGACCATATGAGATGCTGGGACTCGAACCCGGGTTGGCCGCATGCAAGGCAAACGCCCTACCCACTGTGCTATCGCTCCAGCCCCTGATGTAGGTTCTATTCCTGACATCTGTATGGTCCCCTGAGCACTGTCAGATGTAATTCCTGAGTGCAGAGCCAGGAGTAACCCCTGATCATTGCCAGGGGTTGATCCCCCCCAAAAAAAATACAGAAGAGAAGGCAAGTGCAGCCGGTAAGATGTTTACCTTGCACTTGGTTCACCCAGGTTCTATCCCCGGCACCCCATCTGGTCTGCCAAGCCCATGAGGAGTGATCCCTGAGCACAGAGCCAGGAGTAAGCCTGGAGCACAGCCAGGTGTGGCCCCAAAACCAAATAAAGTGAGAGTAATCCCAACAGTGCATTGCTGGGCCGGAGGAGAGCACGGGGCTAAGGCACTTTCCTTGCATGCATCCAACCCTGG